CGACAATGGTTGTATTGTTACCCAACTCTTCTTCCATCAGCGCAAAGGAGGACGAAAAACGATGGTACGGCGATGATATCCCAGCCACACGTTGACCGGAGCTTTCACCATTAAAGCTACGCCTGGGACGAAAAATGTCCCATTGTTTGCTCTCTGGGTTAAACAAAATGCCCATGCGTTGCAGTGTAACGATGTACAGATCCGTTGTGTGATTCTCCGGTAACCGTATCCCCACACCAGGAAGAGGCAACACCACGTCCGAAAAGGTATACTTACCCTTGTCGATGCCACTCTTTGACGCAAAGACAACGTTTTGATACTCTTTTGAATGGGGTGAAGCCAATGGGTTTCGACGCACAAGATCACCCGGAAGAACCGCAAATGTCCCGTAGCGCTGAAAGCGTTGATTGACAATATCATTCCAAACAAACGCAAGGAACTCATGCACCAACATCAGACATGCGTTCGGACCAACAACACGCAGGAACGCTTCTTCACAGGGGTCAATCGAGGATTCCTTTTCCTCATCCTCTCCAAGTAAAGCCGCCGCCTGCAGGGCGCTGTCAAGAATCGACTGCAGCGCCGTGCCGTGCTCTGCGATGGAGCGTCGCCTCGCATCTAATTTTATGTGGTCTGGAATTCGAAATCCCATCGCCTTGGAGTGATACATCTTAAAAAACCCTGCGCCGCGACGTCGCTTCTCAGCCGCAATATCAGAGTCCATGTAAAACTGTTGGACGATGATGTTTGCGGCAGCACGAAACTCTCCTTTAAGAAGGTGAAGCCCCGGATGCATGTTTTGTTTCGTGTACGATGCGAAACGCTGCGGGCCAAAATAATTAATAAAGCCCTTTTCCTCCAATGATTGCATGGCCGGTTTCACAAGAGGGATGTGATTTTGTGGAATACAACGCAGCCTTACGCGGTAGGCATAACCATCATTGTCGCCGACCCGGAAGTCATAGGAGGCGCTTTCCACCTCCATATCCACGCAAAGGAACTCAAACAACTTCTCTGGGCTCATCTTAGCGGCAACTTCGTCAAGCGTCACGGAAGGGGCTCGTTTGGTTTTGGATTTCTTCTTTCGCGACTTCTTGCCTCTTGCTGTCGTGTCCTCTGCGTCCTCTACGGAGTCTGTTCCCGCTGCATCCATCTTTTCATCCCCTTCTTGTGGCGATTGCTTGTTGTTGCGTGACTGACTAATCGCAAGAAGCCGTTCCTTCAGCGAGGGGGACCACCCCTTCGGGTTCTCAACATCTGCGGTGCTCACGCGATCGTGAAAGACCAGCCGAATGTCCGACAAGCGGTAGTAATGTGTCCCCCAAAACTCTCGCTCCTCCTTGTCCACGACCATGCTCTGCAGGGGGCGAAGAGTTTGGTAACGATGAAATTGACCGCTTGCAGCGCGCTGAGCCGAGTAATTGACGGCACACGAGTCCAAGCAA